CTTTAATACTTTTCGCCTCATTCTGAAAGAAAGAAGTGAAATGTGCTAACGTGACGGCCGTCTTGGTGTGTGGTGCGAGACGGGAGATGTAGTTCATTGAATGGTTTAACACAAAAAAAAGTGTTACATTTTAATTTTTTTGACTTGCAAAATTATCTTTTAAATTGACAAACATCATATGTGTAATTCGTGGCACAATTCAAACGGAATCGAAAGATAATCTTTCTCTCTGACTCTCCGTTGACTTCAATATCTTTTCCGAAATAAGGTCCCCCGGAAAGGGAGGGACTTCGCCACTCTATCACCAGTAGTGAAAATGGTGGACAGTGAAAGAAGCAAAGTAAGTTTGGAGTATAAATGTAGTAATTCCTGAGCAGTAATGCCAACTTCTTTTCAATAAAAATAACTCTAAAAAGTCTGCAACAGCGGTGCCAACAATAATACCACTTGGAAATGCTACTTCTTTCATATAAATATACAGATTATAGCGGCAGACATGTGCTATCACATTTTACCAAAAGGCTATAATTTAATCTGATTTAAAATGTGTGAATCAAAGCGTTAACATAGCAGCTTTCAATAAGATAGTGAATATATTAAAGGTGTTGTTTCTACCTGGGAGGAGCATGGTGGAGACCATCTCCGGCTCTTCCAGTGAGTCGATGATGCAGCGCTGGAAGGTCTTACTGATGGAGGACTGCAGGTAGCTGTGGGGAAAGGAAAAGGATGAACCTGTCATTTGCCTCTCAGCTTGACAGTAATGCTTTCAAAGAGAGCTGTGAACAGCCTGGTGAAGAGGGAGCATTTTGGATCAGCAGTGAAGCTCTCTGAACATGTTTTTCTGTCTAATATGCTGTGAAGCTCTTCTGATCCTACCTCATCCAGGAGAGACGATCTTGCCAAAATTCGTACATGATGAAGCAAGATCTGTCTGGCAGGTTCTGGACTGAAACGCTACAAAAACAGACAGAGAGAAAAAAAGGGCAGTGGGGGGTTATCACATATGGTCTTGAAAATGTAAGCAATTTCAAGTGGCAGCATTACATCACAGAGAGGTCCTGAGGCAGAGAGAGGGACATACTGCAGGTTGTTAGGCTGGCTGCTGGTGGTCTCTGTGTAGATGTTAAGAGCTTGTTGAAACTGATCCACATCCTTCTCCTTCACAGACATTTGTCTTTGGATCAGAAGAATGTTCTGAAGAGAGAAAAAGTCATAATCTCATCTTCCATAACACATTTGCCTCATTTTGAATGTAGTTGTAATTGTAGAAGTGATTTCCAACTTTTCAAAGATGTCATATATAAATATAAAACATGTAACAATTACCAGTAAAATCCTTGCACATATATATTAATATAATATAATATAATCAGACACAAGCTCACACATGCTGGACTCACCGAATTGTATGTCCCTGCCAATGTGTCCTCTTTGAGAGGTTCAAGATGAGGGCTCTGAAAATAGGGACATAAATATTTTATGAGTGGTTATGAGCAGAACCAGAACCGAGTCCAGCAAAATAAGGGCCTGTATATACAATCTGTCACAAAGGATTGACTCCCACAAGGAAGCCATATTCATGTTAACCCTCCGACAGCCTAAACACTATAGTCTCTCTGCATGGCCGAGATAAGGACAAATAATCATTAGTGTGTTAGCAAGCAAGCTCATTATCCCCCAGGCTCTGATACAGTATCTAACCTTGGAGAAAGCCTAATCTATTATTGAAGATAAAATGCAAAGTAAAAAACGAAATAAATCCCACAGGAGAACCATAAAGCTACTGATGCTCTTATTCAGACCTACAGGCAACATATTGGTGGCCTTTTGTAAATGTCAGAACATTTTAAACATCTGTCAACATATTTGATCTGTGTTTCTGTTTAAAGCATTGAGTATTTCAGTGAATCACAGCATGGTTGCACAGCATGATATGTATGCATGACATTCGGTTTGTGTGGTTGAACACAGCTTGTGTTGTTGGCCTGAACAGCCACACACACTATTTACAGATTGTCCTCTGTCTGCTGGGCAAACACTGTGTCTCTGAAAACACACAGAAGAGCTCATACGGTCTGCTTTGACATCTCTGTCTGTAGCAGATGAGCATCTGTAATTAAACCTGATCTTCACAGAGCGCCATCACCAGACAAACCTTTTGGCAGCGTTTTTTGTCATTTCATACAACTGAAACTAAGCACGTTGTGTATATATAAAAGTAGAATAAAGAAGAATAAAAGGCAGAGTGGGATGGCAATGGATAGCCATGAACAGCCACATGCAGAATACTATCAATCACCATTGATGGTTATCATTCAAATTCAGAGTTTGCAAATGCAATGGATGATTTGTATATACGCTGATGATGAACACGATTTTATAAATGTGCACAGTGGTCTGTTGGATATGATGAGTGACCTGTACGGCAACCTAATAGTCTACAATCAGTGCCCATTCTGTCTGATAAAGATTCAAATACGTTTAGGTTCTCGAGGGGCAATTTGAATACATACAATATACATCATATATAACACAAAATCATACCGCACGAGATCCAAATCTCTTGCAATGCCAAGAATCTGCAGTTAAATTACATTTAGAGTTTTAAAGGACAGTCTCTATTATTGCAGAATACCAGGAGACTTAAGCTCCACCAGAATGCATCTAAAACTCATCATGTAAAAAAAAAAAAAAAAAATGACATGTAAATGGTGTTTAGGGTCAAATATAATCGTCTGTGCCTTGGAGAAGACCCTCACCAAAAATAAGACTTTTATAAACATTCAGGGCTGAGATTCTAAAAAATAATAATTTCTATAAAAGGAATTTATATTCATTTCGGGGATTTTGCCTCTGGAGTTAGATGGTTAGAGGGAAGATTTACATGATCATGTCTGTCCATTGTACTGTATATGAAGCAAGCAGTTAGCAGTTAGCTTATCTTAGCTTAGCACATCAACAGATTTTATACGGACCTCGCACTCCAGTTTGTCAATGAGTTGCTCCAGTTGGTTGATCTGGGAGCCCCAGTGGTTGTCTGACTCCACGCTGACCCCTGAACCCAGAAACAAAACATCAGCACAACACAGGAAGTCTGAACAATGACGGGATGCTTTTTGTTGTTGTTGTGAATATCCTCATGAGTTTAGTAGCTGCAATATGACCTTTTAAATAGTCAGTATTTTGCTCATATACAACCACTCTCTGAATCCCATTGTTCCTGGAACCTACCTGTGGTGAGCATGCCAGAGTACGGGTCGGTCGGGGAGAGACACATGTTCTTCTGGATGCGTCGGCCGGGGCGCTTGGGCACCCTCTGGATAGGAAGTTCCTCTGGGGTCTTCAGTATCCTCCTCCCAGTACAGCCCTGGTCATGAACCGCATCCATAGCGCAGTCCAGCGATGACTGGAGGGACTGCAGCTGGGTGGAGGTCTCCCTCAGCAGGAAACGTGTCACAAACTGACCCAGCACTGATGAACCCTGATAATCCTGAATAAAAGAGTGTGGGGACAAATAAAACAAGGTCAGCCATGATGGGGGAAAATATTTGTTTACTTTGCATTTTTCTCTCATTTCCTATCTCGAGAAATGTTTCTTGCATTCTTTCTGTTGATATGATCAAGGTTCAAGGTTCAAGGCTTTTATTGGTCATACGTACATAGCTACAGTGTAGTTATGACGATGAAAATCTTAGGTCACATGATGGTTTGTTAATGTTGTTTTCCAACAAAATTGAATGATTCTCAGATAATTTCTTATACCCTAGAAACCTTGAATTCAAGGTTGTTTGTGCTTTGTTAGGATTATGTGTCATTCTCCCTTTCAAAAAAGAATTGCACGTTATGAATCAGGTATCTCATGGCTGTTGTTTTGTTCAACAAATAAACATTGTGTCAGTCTGAGATCACACTGAATTAATGAATGGCAAACAGAAAGAGTGATAATGATGAGTGATGTGATGATAATGAATGGATGTGTAGTTTGTGGAGGATGTTCTATCTATACGGTAAGTGTCAGTGCAGTGGCTGCTTTTATTTCATGGGCAATGAACCCTGTCAAGATCACCATCAGTGTGACCAAATTCAGAAAATGTAAAAAGAAGATATTTGAAAAACGACCAGCCAGCTTTTATGTGATCCTCTTTCCAAAGTGTTCTCTTTCTCAGCAGAAGACATGAGGTTCATGATATGACAAATGAACCTCCGTCTTTGTCTCTATTTCTCCTTCCTTTCTTTCCGAAAAAGAGACTTGTTATCTCAGAGCACCATGAAGGACACATTTTACTCCGTGGATTTGATTATTTTACTATTTTCCCAGGCATTTGTAAAGCATTGTAAACTGGAGTTTATATGAACGTTTTATCCATATTATCAGTTTTGCTCGCTCTTGAGCACTGCTATAAGATCAGTTTTATCTTTGGTTCAGCAAAAAGAATATAATAAGGCTGATCTCAGGATAGCTAAAAGGGCAGCTGCTCTTCAGGGCAAAGAAAGCTTTTTGACTGACTAATAGCAGCATGAAAAATTCATGAGCTGTAGCCATGGGTGATATAGAGCAAGGAAAGGTATACAGGAGAAAAATAAAATGTCGGAGAAGATGGATGTTCGGAGACAGGAGATGAAACAGCGAAACAGAAGCGTGTGTCCAAAAGAGACGGGAAGAGACTGAAAGAATAGGAGATTTAAGCAGCGGAAAAATAATTGTGTGTTTGTGATACAGTGCTGTGGAGGACATCTGACGTCAGATCAGTGGGACAGCTGGGAGGTTTGTCAGCCTTAGTTACTGACAGCTACGCTCTACTAACGCTCTGAGTTCTCTCTCTACATCAGGAACAGCCTCTACCTGCACTGCAGTGAGAATGAGATGCTGAAATCAAGGATGCCAACCTCATAATAAGATATATTCCCAGCACCTGATTCTCTTCTCTTCCAAATTAAATTAAATATTCACCTAGCCTGCTTAACGTACAGGGTTAGCTAAGACCGATAAATAAGTGAGCCGAGCTATCGATTTTGTCTTAGAAGAAGTTCTCTGATGTTGCACAGCCCTGCATGTCGGGCGCAGACACTTTAATCCCCTCTACATCTCATGCAATACACTGCTTATTGGTTCTGCTCTACCGGGATTCAGACCAGGATTTCATAACGCTCTAATTAGCATATTTCACGTTCCAAGGCTGGTGATGTATACTGCAACTCGGCCTCATTATCTGGAGAACATGTGAAAGAAACAGTGCTGTAGGTTTCTCTCTTTTGAACTGAAAAGCATTGATCTCCATTTCAGCTCTATAGCCATACATTTACAATTAGGAGGGAACATGTGAGGAGTAAAACCAAAGGTATGAAAACATGTTAGGAATCTAGCTCCTGGATACTGGTTTGAAATAAAAAGCAAAAGATAATTCACAGTATGTGGTGTCGATTGAACAATGCAGTGCAGTCAGTGTTGTCGTGCGATGATGAAACACAAAAGTGCTTTTCTCTTTGTTATATCTTAGCTGAAAATCTTTGAGTTGATGATATCCGCAAGCACAATGTCCGTCAGTCAGACCACTTTGTTTCAGACTGAAATGTCTCTATAACTATTAGATGGATTGCCAATAAATTGTGTGCAGGCGTTATTTGTGCCCATTTCCTGTTGTGCCCTGGCTTTTCCTTTAGCACTTTCACATAGTTGTGAATGAAAGGTCTTAACTATCGGAGTAAAATTCGGACAATCATGACTCCTCATGATAAAATACTTCAGGGATCCTCCTTGTTTTGACCGAATATTAAGATATCTCCTTAGGCGCTCGGAAATGTTGCATTTTTTATGATTATTTGACATTTAATGGACTACACAATTAACTTGAAAAGAATAACACACAAAATTAGCCCATTATGATGATTTTTGCATAAAATCTTTAGTGGCTATCCAGCAGATTCACAGGGACAAACGTCTGCACATTTTTCTCACACTAAGTAGAACCATTTTTAAAAAAGGGGCGCCTGTGATTTCAGGTTCTGTGAGCTCATGTTTGAGAATGCATTGTGAGCGAAGAGAGGCGGCGCAGACAGCAGGCAGAGTCTGTCATGCTGGGCAGTTCTCTTGTAAAGGTGCGACAGCAGAGCGATCTCAAAGACGTCTGAGAGGGTTTCACACTGACAGCTGAGAGGCACAAACAAAAACAGCCTGAGTCTGAACGCTCGGAGGCATGACAGCCGCTTACAAATGTTCTACAAGCTGAAATGGATAAAAGTCCACTCATGTCGAGCTACATTCAATCATGTATTTTCTTGTTAAATTAATCATGGTGCAGGCGTGAAAGCAATAATCACTCACCTCTTTAGTTTTATCCATGGCCTTCAAAATGGCCACATTCAGCTTTTCCAGAGCAGACAGGACGTTGACGTATTCCCCCACATGTGGAGATAAGTACCCTGAAGGAGAAGTACATTAGTTGAGCATATTTTGTCGAATGACTAATAACATTGATTGCCTTAAATAGAATGAAAGTGGTCTGGTCCCTCCAATAATTACATCTACATTTCTGAGACTGGGACATGTTGCGTTTAAGTTATGGTGATTGTCAGACAATTCTAGCCAATAGAAATAGCTAAAAACATGAAAGCATTGGGCTTAAGTAATACATAAAGGTGATCATATCTGTGTAGCATGAATGACGCATGCTTACCTGAGAGTTTGTCTATGTCCAGGTTACTGTAAAGCAATGAGAAGAAAACAAAAATATTAAATAAAGTCTTTGGAAGCCTGAAATATTTTCCTCAAGTTGATTTTGATGTGTGAACCTCTGACTTTTTATCAAGAACGATTATCAGGTTATCATGTACTTAAACATTGGTAACTTAAACAAAATACCTTCAAAACACTCCCATCATCCTCAGCTGTACTTTATATTCAGTGTTAGTGTTATGTAGCTAGCACGATAGCCTTAAATAGGGAACTCTATACCTGCAAACATTGTAAATTACTTAAGATCACCAGTTAGCATTGTCGTTGCGAGCATGTTTGCATACTAACGTTTGCATCTATCTCAGTGCTCAGTTTTAGCCATGATCTCTGTTCGATTAGACAAAGACGCATTGATTTTCACTAAGTGCATAGACAATACACTATGCACAAGCACTACTGCCTTGCAACTAAACCTAGAACACTTTTACTGCACATTCAGTTACATAATATACCATCTTTATAGTAGTCATAACGTACTACAACATAAAGCGATTGACTAGACATTTGTATAGTCAAAGGCAAAAATGTCTGGGAATCATGTTTGTGTATATTAGAGTTGTTTCAATCAGAACTATTTACTTGCTGTAACAATACTTAAGACAATGGAAACTGGATTGGTTTTCATTATGTAACCTTATCTTTAAATGACAGATAGAGGTTAGCTGCTCGTTTGTGTATTGCAAGCTTTCTGTCTAAAGTTGACACCACACAAAAAAGGGTGCAGCTAAATCTGCCACACTTGAGAGGCAATTCTTTACTGTGATTGGTTGGTACTTCAGTGATGCCAACAGCAAAGAGGAGATTTCATTAGTTTTGTGCTCACAGACACAGCAAAAAAGTCCTATTGGGTTTTTCTTGGGCTACAATACCAGGCAATGTATTCCAATACATGTTAGTCGAATAGTGTTTGTTCTCATCTGCATGCAAATCGCAAACTCTGAGGCTTTAACACCAGAATTAGGGCTCCTTGTGGAATATTGACACAGTCTCTTCACTGAAGTGAGGTGTTGTTGACATCTCAACAGCAGAAGGGGCTGCAGATGGCAGCAGAGTTGGAGGACGTCCAAAAAGGAAGATAAGCTTACTCTGTCTGCTTCCTGTCGATGGAGGAATACAGCTCCTGCATTTGGTCGTCAGTGAGGATACCATCAGTAAAGTACGACTGGAACTCCTCCAAGGACAGCTTCCCGTCGTCTGAAAGGAGATAAACCGTGAAAATTACACTCACTGACGCCTCAGAGGTTTTATCACCCTAATGAAGAGTATTCACCATTATTCAAGTTAATGATACAAGGCTACTTTGACTTCACGTCACTAAATTATTTCCAGCGATAAACTCAGAGGTGCTGCGGCATATCATAGTATAAAAAAACTGTCTTTACTTAGCTTTAAAACCTCTGTCAATGATTAATCTTAGAGTGTTTCCCCAGAACCAAATGAAATGTGACAGTTATTTCCAATAAGGGACTCATTTACTGCTATTAATGATACTTTTTTAGTTAAGTGATAAAGACCAAAATCCAATCCATGCTCTTGGGAGTAATAATTACCTAAGTGAGGAACACATTTTCTTTTGAAACAACCCCAAATATAACTGCTTTAATTTCCTCAATCCTGAAACCTGATACTGTAAAATAAATGAACCAATGTTTGGATTTTTGGGCAACTTTATAGCAATCACAAAAGGTTGCACATCAATGAATCTTATAAGTGTCTGTAGCTAATGAACACAAAGACAAGTGTGCGATTAAGGTAATCACAGGCCACCTCTGAAGAGCAGTGTCATGTGACTCAGGCCTGCAGGGTGCGGTGGAAATTAGGAGCAGGGATTGAGGGATGGTTAGAGTAGTCAGAGCAGACCTTACTTGCAGAATAACTGCAGACGGTAATGAGATCTCTCCAGTCTTGCTCTGTAAGCATTGAAATCTTATGAGACCAGACTCTGATCCCCACCAGGCAGCAGAGCTCAAACTGAGTAAATCACATCATCATGTGTGAGAACTATTTTGAGTAGTTGCCATCTCTCACAATGGACAGCTTTGGACACCATACAGTAAAGGCTTGTTTGGGAGAGATTGGCTGATATCAGCAAGTTGTATTCTGTGTTTGTTACATTAAATAGCAAGTGAACTGTTAAACATTGTTTTGTTGTTATCATTAAACCCTTAAGGAGAAAAATCTGTGATTTCACGGAACATTTGTTGTGGCGTTAAACCTCAGATCGAAGATGAAACTATTTCAATAAAAATTCCCAACTCAAACTTTGCTGTAAAAATCTTCTTTTTCCAAATGATGTAGGAGTAACCACAATCTGTTGCACCTCTGACTCATTCTCCAGCCTTCTGCATTACAACTTCTTCAGCGTGGATTCACAATTAGAAGCCCGAATAGGAGTTTCAGTGCAGCTCAGATGGCACGTTACGCAAGCGTTCGCAGTTTCTCAGAGAGCAGAGCTGCAGTGATGGAGCTTCTAACTGTAGACAGTGTGTGTGTCACAAGCTAAAGGACAGTAATCTGTGCAGCAAGTGCTTTGCCTGAAAGATGTACGATTTGTTTCCACACTTAATTAGTAATTAGGCACTTAATAAGAATGTGCAGAAGTAGGCTTTGAAGCATTAAAAGTTAGTATTGAAACGATTACTCAATTAATTGATTAGTTAGACTCTCTTAGGCTGAGAGCATTGGAGTTTGTTTGGTAAAACACTTCAAGTGGTTTCAGTTTGCTGGCCAATGGAAAAATGATTGTCTACTCAAGTGGAAGGTTGCTTTTATAGCTTTTAGTTGACTAAACATATCAAAACCTTAGCCATAACTTAACTCTCCTTCAAACAGATCAAGATCTTTGTAGGGTTTGTTTTGAGAAGGCAAGGACACTCGTTTGTTTAGTCTATCAACAATAATTTAAGTGGTCTTACCTATTTCGTAAATCAGCTGTTGCTTCCTGATTCTCAAAAGTAAAGATTTTTTTTCTTTGTCTGTTTCTTCCACATGTGTTACCACTTTTATTGAAATAGTGAATGCACAGCTAAACTGTGTTACTGAAAACGAAGAATCTCATGCAGTTATGTGTGAGTGAACTAGCTGAACTGTTATCAACATTGAGCTTTCGAGGCAGTGAGATCCAATCAAAGATTATGCAGATTTTTATAGCATCGATCCCCAGCTTCGAGACTAACAACTGTCAATACAACACCTGTTAGAGCCATTTTCTGTGTTGACAATGAGTGTATTATTTTCTTATTAATTTAGATCTTAATATATTCTTTCCATTTATGTATTAGTACCGAATTAAATATTTGGTGAAAAACCTTGATTTACTGCGAGCCACACCTGTGATATAAGGAAGGGACTGAGCGTGAGGAGGAAATTGTCTCCAGCAATGAACGGGGAATCGGAACAGTCTTTGACCTCACGTTATACTGATAATTTTGTTTATTTTGTTTGTTTAAATATATGGAAGCAAATAAATCGGCCAAGGAAGGCAAAGAAATCAGCGCCTACAGAGCTTTATTTGGAAGGTTTTTAACGTGTGAGTCAAGAAGCGGATCCCTGTTGACGTGGCACAGTTTTTAGATATCCCACAAGAATGGGCCACGACATAGTCAAAGACTCCGGACCGCTGGAATAACTGATGTTAAAGACGCATCGCTGACTGGAATCCCGCCTTGGATATTTGTGAATGGAAGAAAGATACTCCGCGGACAGAGCGGAAGGATTGCGCAACGATCAGCTGTTGAGCCATGCGGAGGGCCGCGAGTAAATAAAAGACGGATAAAGTACAGTGAGTAAAGGACTAATATTAGGAATGAGATGAACTCTTAAGCCAGAAGAAAGATATTAAAGATGATCGGGATGTGGATATATGCTGGATGCCTGCCAAGATAAAGAAACGGAATGGAGCAGAGAGAAATGTTTGTGACGACGCAATGTTTGGATTAAAGTGCGGATTGAACGATCAAAAATAATTGATAAAGTGTGATCCTAAGGACAAGGAAATTATGTCATGATGGCTGATGAACCTGATAAAATAGACAATGAGTTAAAAACTCTCAGTGCGAAGCGCAGAGGGAAACTGGGCGCGTGCACNGAACGGGCCATAAACTTTAAAGTGACCGTCAACACAAATCTGACTGTGGAAGATATGGACAATGCTGAAATGGCCATACTTGCATTTGAACAAAGGCAACACTTTGCACAGGACATTAACCTCCTTGAAAAAAGGAAATACTGCCTAAAAAGACAGCCCTATATTACAAATGGACCCAATCCTTTATCAAGGTATACCGAGAGTTGGGGGAGGATTAACAGATCAGCTATGCCAGTAAATGCTAAGAATCCCATAATCCTGCCCAAAAAATCCCACATATCAGAAATCATTCTAAGACACATACACATCCAAGTTGGTCACTCTGGAAGAAATCACATGCTGTCTAAACTAGGACAAAAATATTGGATGTCCTCTGCAAACTCCTCTGCACGAAAGATCATCAGAAACTGTGTTTTCTGCAGACGTATGCAGTCTAAAGTAGGAGAGCAAAAGATGGCAGATCTTCCTCAGGACCGCGTGATGCCAGATTTGCCACCTTTCACTGCAGTTGGCATGGACTATTTTGGACCGTTTGAGATAAAGCGAGGTCGGACTAATGTGAAACGATGGGGTGTAATCTTCACATGCCTTACTAGCCGTGCAATCCACCTTGAAGTGGCTAGTAGTTTGGACACAAACTCCTGCATCAATGCAATAGGAGATTCTTATGTCGTAGAGGTACTGTGAAAACCATCAGATCTGATCAAGGTACAAATTTCATTGGTGCGCAAAAGGAGCTTGAACAATCATTAAAGGAACTAAACCACGACAAAATCCAAAGCAACCTTCTCTAAGAAGGGATCGAGTGGATATTCAACCCAGCAGCAGGCCCTCACCACGGAGGCGTATGGTAGCGACTCATCAAGTCACTAAAAAAGATTCTGAGCTCTGTGGTAAGAGAACAAGTCATGGATTATGAGGCATTGCAAACAGCCTTATGTGAAGTGGAAGCTATAATGAATGATAGACCCATCACAACCATAACAAATGACTTGAATGATGTGGAGCCTTTAACACCTAATCATCTGCTTCTGCTCAAAACTAATCCTGTTATGCCACCTGGACTCTTCGTGAAGGAGGACCTGTACTCAAGAAGAAAATGGAGACAGGTACAATATCTGGCTGATCTTTTCTGGAAGAGATGGGTCAGAGAATATCTTCCAACAATGCAACAGCGAAATAAATGGAATAAGATCAGAAGGAACTTTCTTCCTGGAGATCTCGTTGTTATTGTGGACGATTCGGCTCCCAGAAACTCCTGGGTGCTAGGACGGATTCTGAAGACCCTGCCAGGAAGTAAAGGGCTTGTCCGAAGTGTTCTAGTTAAAACAAAAACAAGTGTTTTACAGAGGTCTGTCAACAAACTCTGTTTGCTCCTGGAAGCTGGAGATTAAGTGGACTACTACTACTGTCTGAAGCTAGAAAAATCGATTTTTTTATTTTTTATGAACTCAAGATGAATCTCATCTATGAACTCTGACAAGAAGAAAATGAATATATTTGTTTTGAATATTGGCTCTATTTATTATTTGGATGGTTTTTAACGTGTGAGTCAAGAAGCGGATCCCTGTTGACTTGGAACAGTTTTTAGATATCCCACAAGAATGGGCCACGACAACACCTCTGATGGATAATCATCAGCACCTCATAACAGCATCGAGGCAGTTCAATAGCTTTAATTGTTTGATTTCAAACCAAGCAACACTGCAGCTCTACCTGCAACCCTAATGAAAACCTCTCCCTGTGCTGATGCTTGAGTCTTTTCAGGAATGAGCTTCCTTATGGGTAGCCCGAAGCTAAAAGCCCTCAAGAGAATCTTAGCAACAAATCATCTTTTCATTAAATCCAAAAGTGCAAGAGAAATTCATTGATAGGAATAGTTTGAAGAATATATAGGGTTGATCATTTGTTTGTATTTCTTGTTCAGTGTATTTAGAAAAGCACGTTCTTACAAGTTGTCCAAATTCCAGGTATCAAAACTGTCTTGACCAATTTATGATGACATTGTGTTCCTAAAATGTAAAAATGAGAGCCAGATATCAGCTTCTCAGCCATTACTGATAATGTTCCTCTCTTTCAACTAAAGCAGCAGCTCTTCTGTACATCCATGCATCCTTTGAGGAATCTGCTGCAGTCTACAATCCTCTGCAGGAAGTACAGCACAAAGGATGTGAGGCAGAAACCTCTCACCGGTTACTATTGAGTTAGTGTCAAGAGGGAATAAGCCAAACTCCCCTAAGCACCTAAAATTTAAATCGAAACCGTTTTCAAATCATGAAAAATAAATGAAGTAAAACACTGCCTTTTTGTGTTATAAAACTTCCAACAAAACCAATCAATGGCCTTGACTAATCATTGTTTGCACTGCTTGTTATAAAAATCCAGCTCATATGAAAATACTTCAGTCTATTTGTATGAAAGTCTCCTCGTTAACTTTGAAATACTGAAAACTAATTGCCTATTTATCAGGGATTTCTATATTGGATTTTAATATATTGATCAGATGCGTGTGTGCATGTCTGAGCTCAGTGTGCGTCAATATAAGTGGATTAGAATCTCAGCACGAGGCTTCCAGTTTGTACTTATTGTTCGTGTAATATACAATTGTTGTATTGCTTCTTAAAACTATAATTCCTCATTAAAACAGCGTGGAGGAATAAGAGTGTAGCTGGTTGGTAGCCAGCCCCTCATTATGTGGTAAATCCGCAGTGCTCCAGGCGCCTCACGGCAGCCCACTCAGTGCTGGTTGGCTCTCCTCTCCGGTGCACGACTCAGTGAGTTTGTGACGAGGAGAACCGAGCAGAGCTGCAAATGTAAGATAGCTAACACAAACATACGCCAGAGTTCTCTTTCTGTATCTCCCTTCGATTTACACAGAGTGAAAAATAAAAGCTTTGTGTGAGAGCTAGAGGGCGGCGCGTGGTGTGAAAGAACTGGAGGAGCAAAAAGCTTCACGAAAATGCAAGATGGAGATACAGTATATTGACCAAAACGGAATTAACCTCTATTTCTATTAAAGTCCCATCAGCCACAAGTAGGGGAGACACAACTTGAAGTATGGAATTTGCAAGGACCCCCCGCCTCATAGCGGCACATGTTGGTTCATTAATCCCACTCTTATGTAACACATTCACCGCCCCCCCCCCCAGGGAAACTGATCAGAGTTTGTCTCTACTCTGCATGCATGTATCTTTTGCATTTCACATTCCATATAATGGGAGATGCAGTGCATGAATAGAAAATTAAGAGCACAAACATGTTCCTGTTTGTCAGCACTGTTTCTTTTCATGCAGAGCCGAATGTTCTATGTTTTCCCAGGAGATATGCGAGAGGGGGTGCTTCCTTTGAAGTAAGAGTCCACATACATTTAAATGTAACTGTAAAACATTAATCAAATGTAATGGTGATATGTTTGCAGGGGGAATATATTAAAGTCGCATTAGGTGCAAGTCTCCAGTGAATTTGGAGATAAACGTTTATTTTCTACTGATTATGTGAGGAAGATTATATAAGGTTCAGGTTTGAGTATTTTGTGGTCTCACTGAGGTTTGATCATTGGGAATCATTGAGCCGAGCATTGCAGGGCACCCTGTCAGATTCAATCACATCCCAAAACCAAAAAGATGCAGCTGCACCTGACCTTTGTTATTTATAGCGTTTCTTCGATCTCAAGGATGGCCATAACACAGATGCACCAATAAACCCCTTCAGAGACTAAACTGTCTGAACAGAACCATCAAAGTAATTCTTTTTTATTTCTCTGGTGCATCTAAATTTGCAACGAGGCTCTTAATTGAATTTGAACTAGCTGTGTAGTCTAATTAGCTGAAGGATTTGCTTACTCACCATTTTTGTCTGCCCGGCGGAATATCTGCAATAAGAGGAGAAGATCATGTTAACGTTTTTGTTTACAGGCATAGATGATAGAAAGTGGAAGAATTTAAAAACATAATTCAACTATATTGAAAGAGGAAGACGAGTTTGGTGAGTGGTTTATTATTTTATATGTAGGATATATAAGAGGAGCTGTAATTTCCACAATTCAATAACAAAAGAGACGTCTCAGGAAATGAAAAGCTGATATTTATATTCACCCGACAGGAGCTGTGGAATAATAGCTTTTATGTTTTTCTCTCTCCGGGCATTGAAAAGGATCATGCTGTTTCCCTGGTTTTGTGCAAATTCTGCGAGCAGGATGTAACAGTCCTTTGAATTCCTTGATTTATGCTATGCACACTCTAATGAAGTCATCACTGATATCTTTCATCCCATCTCTGTGTAACACCCAACCTGAGAAGTCTGATCCGTTGGAGTGAAAGGTATTTTGTGTGAAAGTGGCACCTCTTTTATTTTAAAGTGTTTTTTTTTTGTTCCTGCTCAATCAGCCTGTGTGGACTGATAGAGTCCAGTGACTGGTTGATTTAGTGTTTCATCAGAGTATACATCCAGCTGTCACCTTTCTAGCACATCAGAGCGTAAAGGACACGCTCTGCTCACATCCTCTCAATTCAATACACATCCACTGAGCCTCAAAGAAATCTATATGAGAAAGAATGATACTGAGGGTGTGTACAGAAAGAGAAAAATGGCACTGAATGTCTCAGGAACCTTCAAAGGTGTATGCTCCAATTCAGAGGGCCCTTGAAGGCCCTTGAATGTTGTACATTTAGCATTATTGCTGATGACTTTTGAAACACATACTGAACAGTTTCAGGGATTTTCCTACAGCCCCTGGTTTCCATGTATCCCTTTGTAGTCTTGATTATTATTCACACTTAAAAATAATAAAGGACTGTATGCTCTCATGTATAACCTCAGTTTTCCTAGGTTCAGGGAAACTAAAAAAGAAAAGGACGTTTCTGTGAAACGTAAAAAGGTCTCGGGAGGCTTTAATACACAGGTTTATTCATGTATTTGATACCTGTGTTACCTGTGTTACTCATGTTTTATGTTTATTTGATTAGCTTTGCTTTTATAATGACTGTTTTTGAATGTAATTCTATAACGTGTTTCTGCTGCACTATTTCTTAATGCTCTCAATGTCTTTTATTTTTGTAAAGCACTTTGAATAGCCTTGTGTTGAAAGGTGATATATAAATAAACTTGCCTGCCATGCATTACATTTATTTCCTAAAAGGGTTGGAACCAAGATATACACAAAGTAAGGACCTTTACTGTCCAAAATATAGACATTACATTAACATTGCTTTAGCTGACCTTTTATCCAAAGTGGACTGAAATAAGTAGCATTCGAGCCGGAAGATGCAACCTTGAAGAAAACAGAATCATATAAGTACATCAGGTTTCATAGAGCCAAACATTTCAAGTGCTACTCAACTGGCTTTAGATAAGCCAGCCCTTTATTAGTATATAAGTGCTTTGTTAGCAGTTTCTTTGTTAGTAATTCTATCGCTCGAAAGAGAAGAGTTTTCAGTCTGCGCCGGAAGATGTGCAAGCTTTCTGCTGTCCTGATTTCAATGGGGAGCTCATTCCACCATTTTGGAGCCAGGATAGCAAACCCACGTGTTTTTGCTGATGGGAACTTGGGTCCCCCTCGCAGTGCGGGTGCAGCGAGCTGTTTGGCTGATGCAGAGCGGAGTGCACGTGCTGGGGTGTACAGTTTAACCATGTCCTGGATGTAGGAAGGGCCAGATCCATTCGCAGCATGGTACGCAAATACCATTGTTTTGAAGTGGATTCTAGCAGTTACTGGAAGCCAGTGAAATGAGCGGAGGAGCGGAGTGGTGTGGGAGAATTTTGGAAGGTTGAAGACCAGACAAGCCGCTGCATTCTGGATAACAGTACATTTTAAAAGCTAGACCTAAAAAATAAATACTGTAAGTACCAATAACATATACTACTACAAACATTCAAAACAAATCAAAAATACTCAAATAGCTAAAACACAAATGACACTGCTCATTGATAATTAGACCAAAAGTGAGCCCTGAAGCAATAACAGGTAATTAGATAAGTCAAAATACAGTGTTGAAACTCAATTTACAAAACATTCAGTACTACTAGTGCTCTGATTAAATACCAGCAAAGAAAAAGCTACTGTATAAAGATTTGTAATCAAACATTAGCCATATATATATATTTGGTTTATTTCTGATTTGTCTGATAACCTTTAAATGCCTCATTTGCCTTTTACAGGTATCATCCCCGGAGTGACGAGCAGCCATGAAGGCTTTTGGCTGCAGGTAATGCCATGTAACCTGGAAGCTGTGTCATCACTGTCAAATGTACCCAAATTCCTCAAAGTGCTGATCTTGTGTAGCATGCCTCAGAGGAAGCCAAAAGAGAGTTGCTCCGTAAATTAAATCTGGGAAACAAATTGAGAACGTCGGCTCTGGAGAAACCTGAGGAGGAGATTCACTGGTCTTCATTCCTCCATTGTGTCGTTAAGAATGAGTCAATGAAGCTCTTCTAAAAGCAGTGTTAGCTGCTTGGATGCTGCTCGGTTGTAATTTCCTATGGGGGCTGTTGATGTCACACTGACTCATATTGATCACAATAAAACTACAGCAGGTAGACCGACACCTACAGCACATCTTCAGTAGAGCTGCATCCTTTAGCTGACTAATCCGATAGTCGAATGAGTCAAAAGGATTGCAAACAATGTTGAAAATCAATTCAAACATTGAAATGACTTTTTCAAATCTGAATTCAACGCTGAAGTCAGATTTGATGCAAAAAATACAAAAACGTTCAGCCTCTCAAATTCAGAGTTTTCTGTTAATTTATACATTGAACAAAAGATCTTTGGGTTTTGACTGACAAAACAAGAAAGTCATCACCTGGGACTTTAAGAAACAGGGATGGACATTTCTAATTTCATTTATCAAATGATTAATAACAATAATTGTTATACTGATCAGAATTACTCGTGAATTGCAGATCTACAGAAACCCGGTTGTTTATCAAACGCATGACACTACCTCCAATTAGCCTCTCAAGCTTACTTTAAAGGGCCTTATATTATGCTAATACTCAGGTTCGTATTTGCATTTTGAGCCTCTATTTTTCTCTTGTGCTGCAGCACCTCTTTTCACCCTCTGTCTGAAACCAGAGCCCAGTCTGCTCTGATTGGTTAGCTGGCCGGCTCTGTTGTGATTGATCAACTGCTTAGAGATGTCCTGCCCCAGGAGGGAGTATTTGGGAAAGAAACTTTGCACAAAAACCTATATAACACACTAAAGGAAAGGGAAAATCACAAAAAGCATAATAGGGCAGTCCTTCAGCTTGACTGATTATAGACAAACATCCTATTTTAGAGGGACTGATATCGGCAAACATTACATTTTCAGTTTTTCCTGCAGATATGTGGGCACCAAAATGGTTCAGGTTCAAAGAGAAAGAGAGACATGCAGGTCAATGACAGTCAAGTTAGAAAGTTGACCTCCAGCGAGTGTACCATTTATTTCTGCAGTTGTTTATGAAGAAAGGACAGTCCGCCAGCAACAGTAATAGGTTCAGTAAACAAAGGTTATGGGCTGGAGCAAATAGATGCTGACTGCATTTGAACAAATGCATACCTTCTGCAGGCTTACTGCCCCCCTCTAGCTAGCCAATTATCTGCCAGGAGGAAATTTAGTTACGGCCAGCTGTCAGGAAGGCTGGAAAATGATGCTGCTGATCAGTTTTTGTATTTGTGTCGTGAGTAGCCCAGAGGCAAACAGCCATAGAGGCTTCAAACACAAAGCAATGTTTTTTTATAAATATGTATATGGATGGTTCACCATATTTTTCACCACTGTAGCAAAAGGCAGCCGAGTAGAGGAACATTTCTGTGCATATTAATGTAACCCTCTCTCAAGCAACACTCTTACTCCTGATTAAATAATTCAGGATGTAACATCCATCTATTTTTATGTTTCTGTTTGCAGCTGTGTGAAGGGAAAGCTGCTCATTAAAAAATCATTGCATATCATGCTTTATATATCATGTTTCTTCTAGGGTACAACCAATGTCATGAGCCTCGTCATCATGTGGGGGGAAATGAAAAAACAACCAAATTCAAACAATCACATTGTGGTGCTTTACAGACCAAATGAATAAAATGGTTTGTCAGATGAATGTGTTGAGGCATTTATTTTTGTCATTCACGCACTAATGGGCATCTCAACTCACCTTGCTTACATAATAGGGCTGCTGCACATCAAGCACGATGTGAATGGACGGCTCCCTACCTCCATTTAAACCATTCATAAAGTGCAAGATGAAGGACGGTGTATTACTCATATTGCACCTCTGAAAGACGACCCTCCTCCAAAACAGATATAAATATGTATACAATCATGCTTCAAAAAACCAAACCATACTTCTTAGTGAGAAGGGGGGATTTTTTGCCTATATTGCCAATTAAACATTGGAAAAAAACAAGAAAGGGTGCACTTACATCATGAAAAAGAGAGATGCTTTGATTTTGGTTGCGGTCCAGCTCCTTCTGCTTCCTCATGTGATCGTGTTTTGCAGACTGAAGACACATGGTGATCATCTCCGTGCAGGCCAGCATCTTGACGCTTTCGATGCGATTTCTGATTTAAAATTGTAAAAAGATTGTCCGGATCCTGTGCTTTTGGGAGGGTTGTCCTTGTCAGGGTGGTTGGTGGAGGATGATGTTGAAACTGTGATCCAGTCAGGAGGAGATGTGGACCCTGCCTGCTGCCCTCTGCCTGCTGCACGTCCACTAACTCCGCCTCTACACGAGCAGCGATTCATAAAATGCACCATCTGCTGGTGAGAATACACACACACACACACACAGACAGACAGACAGACAGACAGACAGACAGACACACACACACACACACACACACACACACACACACACACACACACACACACACTGTGAGATGAAACAATGTGAGGTTTTCAGAGAACAGCTGATCAAAAGAGCTGAAATTGACAGGCAGTAAACTATTTATCTAGATTGATTTGAATTTTAAATAAATAATCTGTTGAAGTTCAAATTAAAAACCGTTATTGTCATATTTACAGCTACCGTGTAGTTATTATGGCAATGACCAAGTCCAAGACTCCAACAATTCAACATAAATATATATAAGATAAAACAATAAATCAAATAAAAAACAATAAAAGTACTGCAAAACAAAATTGCAAGACTAACGTGCATGCAGGAGAACTATACAGGTTAACTAAAATTAGAAGGTAAAATTAAATGTTGTACAGTGATATAAAAATACTGCCTATTGTATTGTATGGCTTATTAATGTGTCAATATACCATTTATATTCCTCAAAAATTGTGAGTTAATTTGACTTCATTGTGTATAACGTGTAAGCAGATTAAGTAGTTATTAGAATTAGCCTTCTTCAAACTCAGATTAAGTGAGATGACCACTGTAAACACTGTAGAGTCCCTTCACATGAAGGAGTGTCACATATTACATGGAACCCTATCAGCATCTCTGCACCTCCCATAATACACCAGGGTGGAACTACACTGTAAATATACTCTGTTACAAGCAAAACTCCTCATAGTCTTAAAGTGATAGTTTAATCAATCAAAAGTAAATCTGCTGTTACATGTTATGCTGCTATATATTATATCATTATCTAATTATTAGGACGCATGATTTTTTTGGTATGCAACTACATCTACAAATATTTGTAAATCGTGTATTCGTCTGATGGTTAGTTTCTCCATTATTGATCGTTTGGTTTGTTTAAACTCTGAAATAGCTGAAAAATAATGTTACAATTACCCAGAGCCCAAATTGACACCTTACAGTCCAAACCTGAAGAATGTAAAATAAAATAAAATTCATTCAAATAATTCAAAAGGAAAAGCAGGAAATATTCACACGTGATAAGATTTTTTTACAGGAAACATTACAAAAGATGATGACATCCTTTGTGCCAATTTCCTACAAACAAATGTGTTGTTCCAGCTGTTCTTATTTCATATGTTTTGTAGATTACTAGAGTAAAAATAAGAGCACATGAAAATGTATTACTCAAGTAAAGTACAGGTATCTCAAAAATGAACTTAACTACAGTACTTCAGTAAATTTATTTAATTACATTTGAATTTGCTGTGTACATATACACACACACACACACACACACACACACACACACACACACACACACACACACACACACACACACACACACACACACACACACACACACACACACACACACACACACACACACACACACACATATACACATATATACACACACACACACACACATACAAACATACATACATATACACACACACACACACACACACACACACACACACACACACACACACACACACACATAGGCACATACACACCCCCTGGTTCTTTGGGGGTGGGAGCAGAGATGATTGCATAATACACCGGGCTCATAGCTTCTGACTCTTTCTGACCTTCTGACTACTTTCTGTTCTGAAGTTCGTCCTCAGTGCAGGTCAACAGGTAAGCTTCTTCTCATTTATTATTTATTTATGTATTTATGGTTTGACAGAGGCTATATGTAATATATATCAAAAAACAGTTATAGCTAATATCTCCTTCTCATCCCCAGCCCCTGGGCAGGTGACAGTAATTCAAATAGAAAACATTACGTACATTCACATAGGCAAATAATACATATGGTATTTACATAACAGTTGTGGTTGTTTAATTAGTTAATAGCGGTACATCTTTAAAAATACAAATTATTATTATTATTATTTTTGTTGTTGTTGTTGTAGCTAGTAGCATTACTATTATCATTTGATTTATAGTCATAGTAGTAGTAGTAATTATACAAATATTAGAATTACTGTTATTGTTTGATAAACTGCTATATGAACATATTTTTTGCAACATATACACACAGCATCGAATAAGGAATATTTTTGTACATAAATGTAAGCTTTTTTTATTTATCAGTGTATTCAAGAACACATTAAATAAATGAATATTAATGCACATACATTGTATCCCTAAATACTTTTGCTGACAGTCAATAGAAGAAACATGAGATGTGGAAACTACAGCCTGTATAGCCAATTTAAATATATGTGGCTTTTTTGCTTGTGATTAAAAGTTAAATATATTCAACCAAAACAAAAACATAACTCAGATAAACCTTTTGACTTACTTGTGGCCGTTAAAGACCCTGGTGTTTGACACACTACTGGGAAGATTACATCTAACCACAAGAGAGAGCCACATATTCCAAGAACTGCCTTATCAGCTGACCGGAGGGGATTGTGAGGGAAGTGATGCAGCCAGCATTTGTTTGTAAACTGAACTACACATACAGGTGCCCATAAGCAAATTAAGATATATTTTATTTTGTGAGTTATTTATTGGTCGAGTATCACAGCAACATTCATTTTGTCCGCTGAGTCGAAGAAACTTTTACCAGCAGGGAAATTAAACGTATTTGTTAAAAAGACGCAGATGCATCCCTGCTGGGTTTTATTAAGGATTATTTTAAAGGTATCCCGCATCAGCTGATGACGTCTGTCAGGGCAGATCTCGAGCGCCTGCAGAGTTAAGATAAGCAGCAGCAACCTGCCACACCCTGGAGGAGGCACCGTCTGCTCTGCGTAGCTAAACCCAAGCTCTCCAGGCCTTTCTGGCTCATCTGAACTGTTGAACTCTGTGAAGTATGATGGGATTGTCACATTCGGTCATCATCATTTTACATTTTGGAGCAACAATTCCTTAAGGCAAAAGTAAATACAAAACGCTAGTCAAACGAAGCTTAGAAAACACCATTATTTAGGAAAGAAGACAGAAACCAAAGTAGCTACATATATTATAGATACTACTTAACAAATAAACCATCGTGATGATTTCACCAAACTTCACAAACTAGGTGGCCAACGTATAAGCATTAACTAAAGATTTTGAACTGACATTCCATTTAATATATTCCTCCCTCCTTATAATAAGGACAACACAGAACAAAGTGTGGATTTTGAGTGTCAAATGTTTTTGCCCACTTCAGATCTGCCGTATGTCTTTGAGGTTGTGTAGAATAATAATTTCCTATCTTCTGTCCTACCTCAGAGTAAGAACAGCTGCTTTACAATGGCCGCCTTCCTTCATCACTGCCCCTTCCTGAAGTCTGCGAATAAGCCGGCTTTGAGGAGAACAGGAGCCTCCTTGCTCTCTCTGGCTTACCAATGCCCCATCATCGCCCGTCAGATCAGTTTGAGCGGCACAGACTACCTGGACGCCAAGCTGAGCGTCTCACCCTCCAAACCGAAGCCCCTGCCCACTGTGGAGCAGAGGAGGCTGTTCGCTCAGACCGCTACTCAGGTGGCTGTGTCCGTATCCAAGGGCTGCCCCTTCGTCACCTCTCAGATCGGTGTGGTCCAAGCCAGCCCCGAGGTGCAGGAGGACGTACAAGAAGGTAAGATGAACAAGCCAGCTGTAATAAGGCTAAAGGGAACGTACATAGCACTAGAAGGACATCATTCAAGCTGTAGGAGAAGTCAGATATTCAATAGGAGACAAACTCTCACAGTGACACTCCTGCATTCCTCGTTCACAGGTTTGATGACTTCTCTGTTGAAGGGTTTAAAGGATTCAATCCTCCCAACATCAGCTCAAACCGACACTGTCACCCACCTGCTCAAAGACAACATGGGTATGTTTAAAGTTGAAATAAACTCAAACCCTCTATAATTACCAATTCCACCCTCATCCCAACATAACATACTGTAGAGCACTGTCATCTGTGCATTTCAACCCAAGAGCTTTTGTATTTACTGTAGGATAAAATACATCTTAGTATGGTAAAAAGCTGCCTATTTCTTCTCAATGGATTATTAGATAATATTATTATTAACAAAATCTGTTAAAAACAAATCATACTTTTATTATTTTAGGATAATTAAAGCTAACATGCATATTGTGCATAATGTAATGCACATTGTCAAGGTCCCCAAGAACCCCAACCCTTTAGTATAAAACAAAAAACAAAAAAAGAACGCAGTACTAAGTAAAACATAAAAATGATGTTGAAAAATGCCAAAAAAAGATTGACAAAATGGTTAAAAATGCACCTGTGAGATGTGACAAAAAATAACATCTGGGGTTAGTACATATACCCCAGATGGTAAGATCAAGGTGAATATGATGCAATCTAGTAATACAAGTGTCTTTATTTGTCTGATTAGATTATTCGTTCATTGAGTGCTGTAACTGATTTAAAGTCTGAGCTGTCCCCCTGCAGTCGGCCCCAGCTACGACTATGACCGCTTCTTCATGGAGAAGATTTTTGAGAAAAAGAAGGACCACACATACAGAGTCTTCAAGACGGTGAACAGGATAGCCGAGGTGTTCCCCTTCGCTGAGGATTACTCCCTCTCTGGGCGGGGGGGCTCCCAGGTGTCCGTCTGGTGCAGCAATGACTATCTGGGAATGAGCCGGCACCCACGGGTCCTCGGTGCCATCAGGTAAAAGGAGAAGGGGAAAAAGTAATTTGTTAATGCTTTAAAGCTAGTATCAAATTCAAATTCATTTGTCCGACTGCGTTTTTCTCTAATAGCTCTACATATCTTTATTTATTACATGAGAGATACCCAAGATTAAGTCCTTATACACCTTATAATTCATTTTCAGAAAAAGTTATATGTTCAAGGACCTGCATGTCACTGACTTCCTTTTCTAACAAGATTATATCAGGTCAAAATTTGAGATGTGAATTTTTTTACTGGTAAGTTTTAAGTCAATTTAAGT